AAAATTTTCGGACATTTTACATCTCTACTTCTGGGTGACGTGATTGTGCTCCACGCATGTGCCAGAAGACTCCAGGAGCCATGCTGGAGCCCCCCCGTCGGAACCCAGATAAAATCTGGTAACCCCACCTCCGCCCAAGACCTCGGAGACAGGAGACCAGGGGTCCTCGACCTTTTGAATCCAGCCAGGCATCTTTGGGAATCTGACTCAGCACGGCTGCCGTAAGACAGCTGCTGAAGGAGGCACAGCCAGCCTCAAAATGGCTGCTGCAACTTACCTTCTGCCATGCAGTGAAGATCCTTGCGTGCTGTGGCGGCAGCTGCTGCCAAGACAAGGTTTTTAAGAATGTGCACAGCTCATCAAATCTCCAGTGGCACAGCAGAAGCTCTACTGGGGGGAAAGCCCCATTTGGCCCCACCTACTTTCTAAAAACACCCACTGGGCACCAGGAAAGGGGCCAGCAGGTGCCCTGGCGCCCACGGGCACCACGTTGGGGAACCCGACAGTAGTGACCTAGAGAGACCAGCTTCAGGTTTTCCGGTCACTAAAGCAATGGGCATTTTGCCCCACCTCCCTCCAAAGCACCAAGCGGAACCCAGCCCTCTGTCAGCAGGAGCACCATGGATTTTTCTCAGTTCTGATGCAGAGCCTGTTTTCCCAAAGTAAGCATATCTCAATAAATTATCACTGCCAAAGTGTTGTGGAGAGCGTCTTAACTTAACCGACACCTCTACGCTCCGCAGTATTGTGAGCTGAAGTTCTACCTTGTGAGTGAAAAAAGCAAGTAGCATTAAAGTTGTGAGCAAGTCTACATTTGACCATTGTGGGAATTATTTTAAGAAGATTATTTCCAAAACCTTGTGAAAATGGCAGAATGAATTCTTTTAAACTGTGTTTAAACTATATTTTAAGTACGATTTAAACATTATAAGAGGAAACAGAATCGAGTCAAATTTCATTACACTAAATGCTGTCCTCTACAGGGGTAGACCAGGCCTCCGGAGAACAGGTCTACCTGCCCCAGTCCACTATATTGGTAGACCTGGCCTTGGACCGTGCACCAGCGCCCCCTAGTGCAGCTTAGCGGGAACTGTGCTACCTACCTAAATCCCAAGTAGAAGAACTACATTCAAGTCTAGTAGCACCTTAGAGAGACCAACATGATCTTGGGATATGAGCTGGAAAAGGGAGCTCTCTCTAGGTTACCAGTAGACATTAATCCAGCTGTTTTACTACAGACGAACACAGCTATGCACCCAATACTACATCCCAAGTAGGATATCCTCACGCTGGTGAAACGATGCCCCGTGATTTGTCATTTATTTGCCTCTGCAAAGCCTGATGACAGAGCACAGGTATCTCCTGTAAGCACAGATATAATGGGGGTGTCCTGTTCTTAAGCCGTCACAAACCGATACTACAAGGTGTCCCGTTTGCCAAGTATCTGATGAATGGAGATGTGGTTCTTGAAAGCTGATACCCAGAAATCTTACCGGCCTCTAAAAGGTGCTACTGGACTCGAACCTAGCTCCCGTTTGTCAGGCAAGTTTAGCCAAGCAAGGTTTTAATAGACTGCTTAGCAGACTGAACTGCTTTCACGTTTTCAGGAGTCGCAGGCTCTCCCGGTCGCGTGAGACTTGCTCAGTTTTACAGAATAAGAAGCCGTGCTACGGACACATTTCCGCCCGTGCGGAGGCGGCTCAGCCGATACTCCAGAGAAGATCGCCAAACGTCAAACACTAGACGCATGTTCGCAAAGCGCCCCTCGTTTCTTATTTGGTCCAGCAAGAAAATCCTACTCAAAAGTGACACATAGCCATAATCAGTATGCAAATCATAAGAGAATCCCATTCGACGCTCAATATTAAAATACTTTAATGGACGCTTGGATCCTTCACTGTACAAAGCGTCCTCGCTTGAGTCCTGGTGAGCAAACCGTGCTCTGTGTTCTCGCACGACATTGGCCCGCATCCTTTCTTTCCTCCAAGGCAAACTCACGGGACTCCTAGACACCATTTCAGAGTTTCCTTTTCCCCATTCTTTGGGAACTCCAGGGTAAGATGCTCTTCTTGCTTCCTGCGGCTAGAAACTCACTTCTCTCTTCCGGCTGACCCCTTCAGGCTCGACTTCTGCCTCTTCTTCTCCCTCTGTCCAATGATCCGGTAGAGTTTCTTCTTTGCTTCCTTCTGCCTCTTGAGCTTCGCCTCCTCCTCTTTCTGCTTCACTTTCAGGTGCTCTTTGACCTGCTGGCGATGATTCGCTTTGGCTTTCTTCAGCTTGTGCTTGTGCACCGTGCCCAGAGCCGTGAGCAGGGCTGCGATCTGAGCGAGACAAAAGGACAGCACACGCAATAACAGACTTGGAGAAGCTGAGAAATGGCAGAAGAGCTGGGGAAGGCGGGTACCATTTAAAGGGCTGGACAGGTGAAAGAGAAACCTGACCCTCAGATCCTACACACTGAGGCATAAGGAAAAGGAAAAGGAGGAGGAAAGGGGGAGGAGGAGAAGAAGAAGAAGAAGAAGAAGGAGAATGAGGAGGAGAAGAGGAAGAAGAGGAGGAGGAGGAGATTGGATTTATACCCCGTCCTTTACTCACTTGGAGTCTTAGAGCGGCTTACAAACTCCTTTCCGTTCCCCTCCCCACAATGGACACCCTGTGAGGTACGTGGGGCTGAGAGAGCTCTGACAAAAACTGCTCTTTTTCAAGGACAGCTCTGACAGAACTATGGCTTGCCCAAGGTCATCCAGCAGCTGCAAGTGGAGGAGTGGGGAATCAAACCCGGTTCTCCCAGATTAGAGTCCGCGCACTTAACCACACTACACCAAAGCCTTGTGTATCACCGAGCCTGAAATGTGCCTCAAGTCAAGGCCTTTTTGAGCCTGTATGTTAGCAGTTGGACCCTTTCTCCTGCTGAGGAGCAGCTTAAGGCAAAGACACCCCTCTGAAACTGTTAAGTGAGGGAAACTGCTTGGGCCAAAATGGACGCCAGTCAGGCAGCAGCCTGAGAAATCAGTTTAAAGGGGGGTGTGTGTAGAGAGGCTGGCTACATCCCCCTCCTTTCCCTGGAGAATTAGCATCAAGAGCTCAGACATATGTAAAATACCAGTGGGATTTGAATTTTTCAAACCCTGTGTTTGGTTTTAGTCGCTCTGACTGGAGATGAGTTTATAGCAGCCGTCACCGCTTTCAACAGGCTTTGCAGGCTGCTTGGCTGATAAGCTACCTCACCTAAAAAGCCCAAACCTCTGAACATACCGAAATCCTGAGAGTGGAACAGGCCACCAGAGCTGATACCATTTTGTTGGGTGTTACAAGTTAAAACACTTCAGTATTTACAGGGTCAATGTTGTTTGTTATAATCGACAGGAAGTCACAAGTTTGTTTGTACCCAATCTGTTTAGACAACAGAATGCCTGTTTAGACAACAATTCCTTATTCGCCACAACAAAATGGAAATGCAGCACACTTAAACAGAACCATTCAAGAAATGGCGTGTTCTATGCTAATCAAGGCTCCCTCTAAGCTGTGGAATCCTGTGAGCAAAAATTCTACTTGGTGAGCTCCTGGCATTAAAGTTGTGAGCGAGCGATTTGGCTGCTGCATGAATTAGTTTGCTCTGAAGCCCTCCTTCCTGAGCTAAGACAAAAATCTGTGAGCCGGAGGCTGAAAAACTGTGAGCTAGCTCACACTCTCAGCTTAGAGGGAACACTGATGCTAATGCAAACTGGACTTTCAGAGAATATTTGGGCTGAAGCAGTCAATACAGCTGTTTACCTTCATAATAGAGTTCCGTCAAAAACTACAAATAAAAGTCCTTTTGAATTATGGAATAATAGGGTGCCTGAACTTAAACACATAAAAGCCTTTGGATCTAAAGTCTATGCCCACGTACCAAAGGAGAGAAGGGGCAAACTCGACTCAGAGCAGAACCTGTTATCCTTGTGGGGTACGCTCTTGGAGGAAGAGGCTACAGAATCCTAGACCCTAAAACTTGCACAATTAAGGAATGCAATGTGGTACATGTTGATGAAAGCAACATCCTGCAAACTTCTAAGCCATCTGAGTCCACAGTGCAACCTACTACTCCGGAACCTGCAGAAGTCTCCTTCAACTATTTGTTCGCTTGGCAATCTGCAGAGACCACCTGTGAACAGGCAGGCCCATTTCCACAAGAGAGTTCCAGCTCAGAAGGGGAACTAGGAGAGGCTATGCCAAGGGAAGGAGAGACAACCACTGTGAGACAATCAGCAAGAAGTAACAAAGGCGTACCACCACAAAGATTCGAAATTTGTGCAAATATACAACCAGTGAAGGAACCTTATAACTGGAAGGAAGTCAATCAACTACCTGCATCTGAAAGAAGCAAGTGGATAGAAGCAACGGAAGAAGAATTTGGATCTTTACAAGACAAAGAAGTTTGGACTCTCACTGAGTTGCCTTCTGAAAGAAAAGTCATCGGCTGTAAGTGGGTGTACAAAGTGAAGTATGACCCTGACGGCAAGGTGGACAAGTACAAGACACGCCTAGTGGCAAAAGGCTCCTCACAAAAATTTGGAATAGACTTTTCTGATACTTTTGCACCTGTTGTAAGCTACACATCCTTCAGGACACTTCTAAGCATAGCAGCCTCAAGGGGCATGCATATTGAACATTTGGATGTCAAAACTGCTTTTCTCAATGGAGACCTGACTGAAGAAATCTACATGGAACAACCAGAAGGATTTTCAACGGGACGAGAAGGCCTAGTGTGCAAACTCAACAAAACCGTTTATGGATTAAAACTAGCAGCGAAAGTATGGAAGGACAAACTGACTAAGCTGTTACAAAAACAGAACTCTCAACAAGGAATAGCAGAACCTTCCTTCTTCTCAAGACTTAAAAACGGACAATATCAATACATACTTATTTATGTTGACGACTTGGTTATTTGTTGTCAAGACCAAGGACATGTACAAGAAATAGCAGATGAAATGAACAAAGAAGTCGAAGTGAAACAATTAGGAACCATAAAGTACTACCTTGGAATACAAACTGAAAGAACTGAGGATGGAAGTTTTCTTTTGAGCCAAAAACAAAAGATTTTATTGAATCTGTGGGAATGAAACATTCCAAACCAGTAAGCACTCCTCTTGAAAAAGACTACCTAAAGAATACAGATGAAAAACTACTTAAAGACAATCATGAGTACAGATCCGCAATTGGAAAATTATTATACTTGAGCACAATCTGCAGACCAGATATAACTTCAGCTGTTGGACTCTTATGCAGAAAGACCAGCTCACCAACTATCCATGACTGGAAAGCTATAAAGAGACTGGCAAGATATCTAATAGGAACTTTGGACTACAAACTTAAAATCTCAGCCTGTGATGACCCAAGACTGACTGGATTTATGGATGCCAACTGGGGCAAAGACACACCTGATGGAAAATCTACAAGTGGATACTTATTCTACTATGGAGACTTGTTCTATTATGGAGACAGTTTGATTGAATGGACTAGTCAAAAGCAATCTGTCGTAGCTATTTCTACCATGGAAGCTGAATGCGTATCAGCGCAAAGTGCCAGCTATGAACTTTACTGGATTATTCATCTACTGAAGGACTTTGGAATAGATGAAGCAAAGCCAATAATACTGTTTGAAGACAATCAAGCTTGCATCGCTACCTGCAAAGGTGAGAGCACAAAATCCAAGAATAGGACCATCGCTCTCAAATGTAAGTATGTGAAAGACCTGCAAGACCAAGGACTGATTGAACTCCAATACTGTCCTACTGAGGAGACAATTGCAGACATCCTCACCAAGCCACTCGAGAAGAAGAAATTTGAGACTCTATGTGAAAGACTGAACTTGCATGACTTCAGTGTTGTAACTTGAGAAGGGGTGTTGGGTGTTACAAGTTAAAACAATTCAGTATTTACAGGGTTAATGATGTTCATTATGATCAACAGGAAGTCACATGTTTCAATTGTAACCAATCTGTTTGAGCAACAGAATGTCCGGTAAATTTGTAGCCAAATTAACAGCCTGATTGGAAATCAATGTGTCGAGTATTTAGCATATTGGTTTCTCCTTCCTGTCTTTGTTCTGGCTGAAGAAGGAGATGCCATTTCATCCCTGCGTTTTACCTGTAGCTGTAAGGATGTAGCCATATTAGCTCTTTGTTATTTTATATCCTGTGTACCTTTTCCCATGTTAGGTGGATAGCAAACTTTTATATTTTTCAAACACACCATGGACTCAGTCTCTTAATATTTACTCTGCTGACTGACTTAATAAGAATCCCAACACATTTTGAGGTGCAATCCACGTGCCATTGAAATCGGTAATAAACCTTAAGCTGGTAAGCATGGGAACATGACCTTAACGGCCGTGATTTGTGCTACAAATTGAGGAGGGGGAAAACATCACGCAATGCTGACCTGCACACTGCAGAAATTAGCCTAGTTTCACATCAACTGTTGGGCTAAAGAAAACATCTAAATTATGATTTAGAAGGGGAGGGGGGGGTTATATCCCAACTCCATGGGCACGCTCAAAATACCACATATTCTGGATCCAAAGGGCAGCTTTAGCTGCTACGCGAATCATTTTACGATACTGGAAATCCCAAGTATCTCCCCTCTATAGATCTCTGGGTCAGTGCGCACATAACAGGTGAGAAGCTCCCCGCACCTCCACCTCCACTTGGCATGAATTCTTGTACCTAACTGAACAATGATATCTCCTCACCTTTACTCCCTGTTTAATCAAACCCATAATGTTGCACCTGGCTTTCCTAGCCTGCCCTCTGGGCCCTACTTCCTTTCCCCTTCTTTCTTGCCTTCCCTGCTAATAGGACTCACAAGAGGCGGGACCCACGATACTCACGGGGGGGGGGAACCCATAATGTTGCACCTGGCTTTCCTAGCCTGCCCTCTGGGCCCTACTTCCTTTCCCCTTCTTTCTTGCCTTCCCTGCTAATAGGACTCACAAGAGGCGGGACCCACGATACTCACGGGGGGGGGAGGTATTCCCCACGGCTCCTGGGTGGCTTGCCTGCTGAAGCAGCAGGAGCTCTGCACAGAGGACATGGCAGCGGCTGCAGGTGAGCCCAGCAGGCGATCCGTTGGGCTCACCAGGATTCCCCACCCCACCCCACGACAGC